TCAGGTACTCCGTTCTCTACCTGCTCAGGTACTCCGTTCTCTACCTGTTCAGGTACTCCGTTCTCTACCTGTTCAGGTACTCCGTTCTCTACCTGCTCAGGTACTGTGTTCTCTACCTGCTGTTGGGATCTATCAGGAGCGTGTTTGAGTTATCAGCAAATATGAAAAACTAAATTATTGATATCAATAGAATTATTAATATCAATAAGATTATTAACAATTAATAACCGGGCACCACCCTGAGAACAGGGACCAATAACCAAACTCATAATTGGTATTCACTCACAATGTCAACAGTCGGAGTACTATTACACATTCAGAGTGAACAGTGAAGGTTTGAATTCGAGCACAGACCACATATCTGCTATTATCACAATACACATGCAAAGTAATCACAGAAAGCTGCTCTGTAAAATATAACAGTTTATTAAATCCAGCTGTGGTTTTGGTCTTTTAAATGATAGTTACTGATCTAACATAACACCATTGCAGCAGTATGGAACACAACAGTAGTTTCTTCACAGCACTAACGGAACTCGGCAGTCCGTGAGCATACAACACGTTATAATACAGTAAACTTAACACAAAACAAAACAAGGTAATAAACACTATGACCTGACTGCCCAGACATAAAGCCTCTTACTGTGAGACGTCTTATTAGCGGTCGATGTGGTTCTTCGAGTTCCTCGGTTAAACTTGGGTGCAGAGCTTCAAGCTGCACGGCGATAAACTCTCTGTGTGACAGAGTTTTCTCGAAAATTAACTACCTGTTCAGGTAATCTGTACACCACCTCCTTCCGCCACTCTTTAACCAGTGATGGATGAAGTATTTCGATTTTCCATTAAAGTAACAGTACTAATACTACCACGGTGTAGAAATACTTAGTTACGTTGTTAAGTAAAACTACCACCTGGAATTTTTCATTTTTGTGAAACAGGATCACAACCTGATGAGCTACAGAGCACCCCACCTGGCAGTAGACTTCCTGTCGGATAACTTCCCAGGGAGTCGTGGAGAAGCTCGTGTTCTGGACGTAGCCTGTGGGTCTGGAGGGATTGCTAAACTGGTGAGCCTGTTGCTTTAAAGTCAAAAGGGTTAACAGAAGAACACATTCTGATCACACTTTATTTTGAAATTCCAACGCTGATAAATAACACCAAGTAGGAGGTTCAGGTAACATAACAGCATGAAATATCAAGGACAATCTCCACACAGGACGTTTTTGTTCTGTAGAGACGCCTGAACGTTAAAGGCAGATTGTAATTCTACAGTTTGAGTTTGAGAGGAACCACATACAGACAAGACTGTCATCTGCATAAAATCAATGAAATCAGTCTGATTGAGCAGATCTACTTCGATTTTACACGTAAAGTCTATTTCTGTTGCTCCTAGTCAAATGTAATCTACGTACGTACATTATTTTGACGGTAGCATCAACTAAACATTCTATTTCCTCTGCAATGAATACTAAATTACAGAGTTCTGTCCAGGAAAGTGTGGAGGAAATTAGTAGAAAACTAGAAAGTTGCACTCAGTAGAGTTCAGATCCACCAGGTGTGCCTTCTACAACTGGACAAATCCTGTCCCAGTAGAAGCTGGTAAAGTGCTGGACGGACAGACGATCAGACCGAACCTCACTCTTTAGAGGTTTCACTGTTAATGTTGGTCGTCTTCTTCTTCTTGTGTTTACAGATGGTTGAACTGGGCTTCAAGCACTTTGTGGGAGTGGACGGCAGTCAAGGCATGCTGGATCAAGCTGCTAAGACCGGCCTCTATAAGGAGCTCAAACTGGCCTTACTGGGAACAGAGCAACTGCCTGCACCGACTGGTACACGACACTCACACATACACACTCACTGCTAAGCTAGCTAGCCAACGTTAGCTTTCTCAGGTGGTTCTCTGAGCTACAGTTAGTGGCTGTAATCGTGAGCTCGTGGTTACGACGCAGGAAGTCGTTCACACAATATGTTCGATGTTGAAGAGGTCAGAGAACACCGCTGCTCGGTAACGGCAAGATTAACGTTATCGTCAGCGTCTAGGAGCCACCTAGGCTAACACTTTAGTAAGCTAGCAGGTAAGTAAACACATAAAAACAAAGGCATACTTACAGATGAGAAAGATGAGGCCGCCAGGAAAAACACACTTACCTCATACATGTTATAAGATTACAAAGTCAAACTTTATACGACTGATATTATTACCATTTATTAACTAATCATCCGTCAAAACTCAGGAACTTGGAGCTGTCAGAAGGTCTCCACTTAGGAGGTTGTGAATACGTCAAGAGGTCACCGACTCGCTCATGAACTCGGTAAACACGACCTCACTTGAAGGCAGCAGAGTTACTAACAGCTCACCTCTAAGCAGCGACTAGTGTGTGAGATGATCCTGTTTTAATTTAGTGATAAAACTAAACTCGGTAGTTAGAATGAGGCTCAGCTTGAACTTCAGAACATCTGGTGGAACCTGTTCATCTGATGCTTAATGGTCTTTGTTTTCCTCACAAATATCATATTTTCAGTCTTTCCTGGAAACTGAACATGGCTCCTGTTCTTCTCCTGGTTTCAGGTGCATTTGATGTGGTGATCATCAACGGTGCTCTGGATTCTGGTTTTGCACCAGTCAGTGTTGTCAGGGAGCTCTGCAACGCCGCCAAACCAGGTAACCAACTAACAGCCACATCTATAAGCCATGAGAGCATCTCTAGTAATACTCTAGTAAAAACCTTTTAGTTTTTAGTGGTTTAAGAACTCTGAACCAACAACGACCAAGGGTGTGGTGTCCACTTGATTCTCTGTGGTTGTTTGACTCTTTATGTAGTACCTTGTGTCTCAGTGGTAGTTTTATTTCTATGTGGTTGTTTGAGTCCTGTTGTGGTCGTTTTGTGTCTCTTTGTGATTGTTTTGTGTCTGTTTGTGATTGGTTTGTGTCTGTTTGTGGTCGTTTTGTGTCTGTTTGTGATTGTTTTGTGTCTGTTTGTGATTGTTTTGTGTCTGTTTGTGGTCGTTTTGTGTCTGTTTGTGATTGTTTTGTGTCTGTTTGTGGTCGTTTTGTGTCTGTTTGTGATTGGTTTGTGTCTGTTTGTGATTGGTTTGTGTCTCTTTGTGATTGGTTTGTGTCTGTTTGTGATTGTTATGTGTCT